ATAATATTATATATATACAATAAAGCTTGAGATGTCCCTCTAAAGCAATTGGTTAAACGCCCCAGATTTATGGATAAGGTTCAGCTAGCCTAATAAAGGTGATTATAATATACAATAAAGCTTGAGTTGTCCCTCTAGAGCAATTGGTTAAACGCCCCGACTTTATGGATAATATTCAGCTAGCCTGATAATGGTGATTATAATATCTACAACGATATTGAACTGTCCCTCTAGAGCAATTGGTTAAACGCCCCGGCTTAATGGATTCAGCTAGCTAGACAATGGCAAATTAAATAAGGAGTTTCGGTAAAGATGAACTAAGGGAGTTAAGGAACACCTGTTATAGTCAATCTCACACGAGCACTCAAGAATTTCATTTTTAGACCGATATTTCTACACTACCTTTGTTAGAGGAGCCTATGAAGCTTGAACAAATGGAAGGTTTCAGAGAACCGAAATAGAAGGTCTAGTAATTGATCATTCTAGTTGTGTCATTTTGTTTGCATCTAATTAAAATGTCAAGCCAAGAAAAAGACATGTTACAATGACCGAAAAAATGACATTTTTTTATGGCTGGAACGTTAGAAAAAAGAAGGCCAACCAAAAGCCAATTCATATATTTGAACATTTGTCAAAGAGCTATAACTCTGAAAGCATTAAAAGAGCTATTGATTCATTTGATATACTTTGAACTCATGTTTATGATTTGATTTGATTACAAGCCTGAATTAAGGAACAATATTTTACAGAATTTTTATATGCTCATATCATTTTCCCTCCTAAAATAAGAGAAAAGAGAAAAACATTTTCAAACATGATAGTCTCAAATGTGAAAGGTTGCAACCCGAGAAGAAAATGGGGCATGGTTGATTCTGAGTACAAGACTGCATACAAAATGAGACTCCATCCAGAAGATAAAACAGAGCCAATTCATGTTACATTCATCTTAGGCATACTTAAGAGCATCACATTTATTATTTTTCGCATACATGATTTTTTACAGCTTTTAGAGTCAAGTTTTGACTTCAAGAGGAAGGATACTCGATTTAAAAGTACCTTTAAAGATCGATGGTGGTTGCTTAACTCAGCAGCGAGAAGCTACACCTCAACTAACTCGACATATTGAGAGATCAACAATCAACTTCAGATGGTTCGAGAACTAATTTAGGACGAATTCAGTTCAGCTTAACTCAACAATGAGTAGCAGGTTTCCAGCCAGATTTCAATTCCACAACGGAAGATGTCCGACTGATAGAATTTATCAGTGGGCTTTCCCGTAAAGGGAGTCATTCAAAGATCATCCCACCTGGTTCAGACCCGCTCAAAGGAACCACCTGAAGAATTATGATCGGCTTAGACTCGTGAATGGAAGCCATTTTCTAAAGAAACTATCGGCAACATAACTCAAGGCTAGAAGGGTTATTTGCCAACAAAAAACCTTTGAGTTCGATTACGCTCAGCTACAAGGCATATCATTTGCAGCATAACTCAAGGCTAGAAGGGTTATCTTTCAACCAAAGATCTTCGAGTTCGACTACGCTCAGCTTCAAGGCACATCATTTGCAACATAACTCAAGGCAAGAAGGGCTATTTTCCAAACACAGACCTTCAAGTTTGACTACGCTCTACTCCAAGGCACATCATTTGCAGCATAACTCAAGGCTAGAAAGGTTATCTGTTAACAAAAGACCTTCGAGTTCGACTACGCTCAACTCCAAGGCATATCATTTACAGCATAGCTCAAGGCTAGAAGGGTTATCTGCCACCAAAAGACCTTCGAGTTTGACTACGCTCAGCTCCAAGGCACATCATTTGCAGCATAACTCAAGGTTAGAAGGGTTATCTGCCAACCAAAGACCTTCGAGTTCGACTACGCTCAGCTCCAAGTTACATCATTTTCAGCATAGATCAAGGCTAGAAGGGCTATCTGCCACCAAAAGACCTTCAAGTTCGACAACGCTCAGCTCCAAGGCATATTATTTGCAGCATAACTCAAGGCTAGAAGGGTTATCTGCCAACTAAAGACCTTCGAGTTCGACTACGCTTAGCTCTAAGGCACATCATTTGCAACATAGCTCAAGGCAAAAATGGCTATTTGTCAACAAAGACCTTCGAGTTCAATTTCACTCAGCTCAAAGGCACGCCATTTTACAGTGTAGCTCAAGGAAAAAAGGGCTATCTGTCAACAAAATTATCGAGTTCGATTCCATTCTGCTCGATGACACGTCAATCACACTACTGTCCGGTTGCAGTCGAGGTTTTCAAGTCGAGAAGAATACATGGGTTAGCCGTGCCTTAGTAACAAGAAACTGTTTTCCGGTAGCATAGCTTAAGTCGAGAAAAACTATCTGTCAACGAGGACTTTTCAAGTTCGATTTCATTTAGCTCGAGGGTCTATCAACCATTTGGTGGAGTCATTGAACTATTTTCTAGTCGAATTTTAACCAAGGTCTTTAAACCGAAAAGAAGGCCGAAGTGGACTACAATTTGACAACGAGAAGTCAAATTCCGAATCAAATTCCGAACTACGGCTTCAATTTCATATCATTTCAGGATAAACTCGACTTCACGGCGAAGGAGTCATCCACAACTCAAATCGGCAGGAAGTTATTCTTAATTGAGATATCAGAGTCAATTTTCAACTCCACCGAACGAAATTTGTATCCTTTTGTCTTTGTCATATTTTTTGTTCCGCGAAAAATGACAAAGAGGGGCAGCTATAGACACTTAATTTCCTCCACTTCCATTCGATTTACATCATTATGCTATATAATATATTTATAAATTATATTATATAATATGTATATTTACATTGAATTTATTTTACATCTTTCAGGCCTAAAATTCGACCCAATGTCATTACAAAGGATGGCCTAGAAGTCCTACGCGACAGACCCACTAGAGCACCCGAACCGCCCGGACCCACGAACCGTCAGCAATCCGAACCGGCCCCCAGGCCAAACCCGATACAAACATAGGGTTTTCTAACCCTAGCCCCAACGCAGCATGCCTTCATCCTAAGTCAATCGCCATTTTTCACGGCCACACGCCGCCAACTCCGAATCCTTCGACGCAAGGAGAGCACACCAACGTCACACAACCACAACAAACAAATAAGTTTAGTGTAAATAGGATTCCTAAAAATAAGACCTATTCTCACTATAAATACATGTAATCAAACACATTGCATGGGAAATCATACGAAAATACAAAGTTTTTCAAAAAAAAAATTTACAGAGGAGAAGAGTAAAAAATATCGAATCCTTCTATTTTTTAGAAAGAGCACTACGATTTCTTCGTCGGAAAAAGGAATGATCTATGAGCCCTTGTGGGTAACCTCGTTAAACTTTTAGATCTAAGGATGGTGATTTTGGCTCTATTGACTCTAGGCATTCAGAGATCTTTTAAGAGTTTTAGGTTCAAAAGAACCATTTTTACCCTTCATCGCTGTCGATCTGAGGCATGGATGGGTAGCCAATGTGACCGGCAACCAACCTCACTCTCTCTTCAACCCTAGGAGCTCGAAACGGTTTTTTTTAAGAGATAACATCTCTATTTTTTATAGGCGGAAGAACGATACAAACATTTACTTATCCCAAAGTTTTAAATTATTTTTAAGCGTGTAAACGCTATAGTTTCAAGCTTTCTGTAACCCACACCCTTTTTTGGGTTATTTAAATCTTAAGCCCCCTAACTTTGTTTTTTTTCTTGCAGATCATTTCAGTATTAATTTAGTCCATTAATTTTAATTTATTTCAATTCGGTCCTTTAATTTTTTTTATTATTCATTTTCTTAAAATATTTTTTAATTTTTAATTTTTTTTGTTTTATTTCATTTTTTCTTTGATTTATTTTCCTTTTTTCTTATTTTTTATTTATTCTTTTTTATCGTATTTTTTCTTTTGATTTATTTAATGTATTTTTATTTTATTTTTCCTTTTTGATTTTGATTTTGATTTTCTTTTTCTTTTGATTTATTATTATTATTATTTTTATTTTCATTCTTATGTTTTTTCTTTGATTTATTTAAATATTTTTTTATCTAACACTTTCGACCCTTTTTTAGAAGAATTCCAACCGATCAAAGGTGAGTAATTTGAATCTGGTAATTTTAAGTTTAATTTTTTTTAATTTTCGCAATTAAAGACAACCGATAAATTAATTGGTACCGAAAGGGCGGTTCAAGGGTGTTAATCCTTCCTTGACCGTAACCGACTCCCGAGCCCGATACATTTCTGGTAAAACTCATATCAAGTAAGATGGTGTCCGACCTACCTAAATGTTTTCAAAATGGTCGGTGGCGACTCTAACCCATTTATCCAAGTCGAAGCTTAATTCCGGACTCAATCAAAAGACAACCGCGGCTGTCATCATTCTCTTCATCTTCTCTATCTTCGTCGTCTTACATACGCAAATAGAATCGTCGTTAACAAACTCAACTTCATTAGTTATTTAAAGCTTTGCCCACACAGAAGCATTCATATGCTAAACCATTTGTTACGAAGGACAGAGTATACAATCATCGAGCACGTGTTCTTGGCGGTGGCTTTGTCATTAACGCATGCTTTTTATTCCCATGTTGAACCTGATTTTGCAAAAGAATCTGGTTTAGATGAAGATTTGTATCAATGAGTTGAAAACAAGGTGGCGTTCAACTGTTTAAGGCACTGTGTGGTAGTGGCATACAGTTACGAATGGGCTGTTTGAAGTTGAGGTTTTATCGTACAATGGATTTACGAATGTCATTCAACGTTCATATCCCTTATATTCCTTATATTTATGATGTTTAAACTTAAGATTTTAAAAAATAACAATAATTTATTTATTATCAATATCGTTTGATTCGTACTATTTTATATTCGTTTCGAATGCTTAATTTATTAACCCAACGCAAAACAACACAAAATATAGTTGATAATGGGCCTAAAATGGCTCGATTAAGCCCATTATTAGGTTAAGAGTGGGCCTATTCACGAAGTTATGGTAGAGTCAACAAAAGATCAAACAACCGCGTAAAGTTTCATTTTCTAGAGTTTACAAACTTCAAGTCTTTTCAATTGGTTTTCTTTTGAAGTTTTGGGAAATTTTCTTTAACTTGTTTCCGATCTCATCTCAGTGAACAATGGTATGTTCTTTAAATTAATCTCTAAGATTCAGTTTTCTTTGTTCTATTCAATAATTATACTTCTCTCTGTTCTTCGTCTTCTTTACTATTGTTAAAGATTAGGGTTCTGATGTTTTTTCTGGATCTTCGTGTTCCTCTTTGTTTCACATTTAAAAATATTCACCGTTTAGTTTTCTTCCTACTGAAATTTTGGGTTTATAATAAAATAAATGGATGAGATATGCGGTGCATTAGCCGGAACAGGAAATAAAAACTTTTTCAGCAATGTCTCTGGAAATTGAAGCAATTATTGATGAATCCCTTTATTTTTTTTAAGAATCGTTTAACTTGAACGGTTTCCTGTGGTGCATGATATTTTCTGTGTTTGGTTGTTTGTTTATGGCCTTGCTGAATTTGTAAATATCTATGTTTCTCTTGATCCGGATTTCGTTTTGCTTGAAGTAATAGCATCTGACACTCAAACACGAATACAAGAGGATGATGTTGTAAAATATTTTTTTTCTAACTAGAATTGGCCTTGATTATGTTTTAATGAATGCTTGATCAGGCTAGTCTTTACATAGGACCATCGAGGAAAGACAAGCCTAAGGGAAGACACCATGGATTAAGCCAACAGAAGAGGCAGGAGATTAAGGAAGCTTTTGAACTTTTTGACACTGATGGATCAGGTACGGGATGACTCGCGTAATACAGGTGGTATATATGAGATATGTATTTGGTGTTTTTTTCCCTAAATTATAGGTTTGAATTTGCTGGCCAGGTACCATTGATGCCAAAGAGCTGAATGTTGCCATGAGGTATGAGTATTTGTGTGCGATGTTTCTTGTCTGTAAACAGTGTTTTTAATTCATATCAACGCATTGGAACTGAAAATTTTTAGTGCTACAGGGCTCTCGGTTTTGAAATGACAGAAGAGGTAAGTTCTGTATCAGATAATTCTGGTTGAATGTTCGATATCCCATGTTTTCTTAGAAAAAACGATGTAATGGTTAGCATAATAAATTAATTTTCTTGGGATCCTTATGTTCTGATATGCTTTTTCACAACAGCAAATCAACCAAATGATTGAGGATGTTGACAAAGATGGCAGTGGTGCCATTGATTTTGATGAATTTGTTCACATGATGACTGCCAAGATTGGCGAGAGGGATACTACAGAAGAGCTTATGAAAGCATTTCGAGTCATTGATCATGATAACAATGTAAAGAACTGTTTGTTTAGATTGAATGTTATTTGTTCTTTTCATGGAAAGATTGATCTTCCTTCATTTGAATTCAGGGAAAGATATCTGCGGAAGATGTTAAACGCATTGCTAAGGAGCTTGGTGAACACTTCTCTGATAAGGATATTAAAGACATGATCGAAGAAGCAGACCGAGATCGTAAGCGAACCCTTGCTTGAATCTTCATACAGTATTTTATGATTGTCTTACTTTACAATTTTGTTCCAGGTGATAATACTACTTCGATGTCATTTAAATTACATTTTAACACCGACCTAACCCTGAACCGAACTTCCGAACAAGACCAAAACGACTAAACCAAACCAAATTGCTTTGGTGTTGGGCAGTTTAGTCTTTAACCCAATTCACTGGGACAATTGTACTTGAACTAATGGCAGCCTGCCTTTCTTTACATAAACTTGTTATAATAAATGTTCAATTGGTGAATGCAGATGATGGGGAGGTAGGTATTGAAGAGTTCATGAGGATGATGAAGAGAACTTCTTATGGTGGGTATTAGAGGTCCGACTTACGGCTGGAGGGATAGTTTGATAGCAGCAGCTATAGCATAGTTGTATAAATAAACAAAAACACGTGTGCATGGAATTATGTTATAGGATTGAATGTTTGGCCATGACTTTTAATCATGTTATTCTGTATTATGTCGAGTAATTTGAACTTGTTTGGGAGGATGTCTAGTGATGATTATATAGCAGATGGCATCAAGAACTATTTTCTGATTTAACTAACATTATCTTCCAGATATTCAAATGCATGAATTAAGTTTTAAAAAAACCTGAAATAAATTTCTCAAAAGGTGAAGGTATACATTTGAATACTCAGATTTGGTTTGTGTATGACACCAGTATTGAAATCGGACTCGAGAGTTGGTCACATGCGGAGAAGGTATAATCCGAAATCCTGGGTAACGGGCTACCTGTTTCGGGCTTCAAAAATTGAAGATCGTTTAAATTGCGGGCTTTTTAGCCCGGACTGTTAAACTCGCGGGTTTAATGGGTATAATAGCGGGCTACCCGCGAAACTCGCTAAAGCTCGATTAATTTAAAATTCATAAAATTTTAGATAAAATAAACTTAAAGAATTTTATAGAAAAAGAAAATAAATTACTTATAAATATGATGTTACTTATAACTATTGTAGTTCTTAAATTTATTAGGAAGTTAGTCATAATTTTACCGTTGCTTAATATTTTTTTATTTAAATATACATCATTATCATTTTGGTATTTAAAGATTTTTTTATTTAATTTTGACCTTTATTTTTTTCATGAAGTATGTTATCCATTTTGTTCTTTAATTATAAAAAGTCACGTGATATTCTAATAATATATCACATGACACGTAATATTTAGATTAAAAATAAGAAAGAAAAGTAAAAGAAAAAATTGAAAATATATTTTTCAACTTTTAAAGACTTTTACAAAATAAATATATTTTAACAAATTAATGACTTATATTTTATCAATTTTAGTATAACTGTATCTTTCAAATTTACTCTTATACTGTAAGTATTTTATATATTTTCATATTATGTTTTAGTCTTTCTCTAAAGTATCCATAAAATACAATTATTAGGATCACTTGACAATTTTCTTGTTAGATTTGTATAATGTTTGACTTTGTTGAATTTTTATGTTTGAATTTCTGCTTTCAGAATTCAGACACTTTTGTGTCTTCATATTATAGCCTTGAATAATCGTATTTTATAAAAGTGTAATGTGGTTATTGTTTTATTTGTATTTTAATTTGGTGATATAAGTGAATATTATTTTTTTAATTTGAGTTTAAGTAATTATATCATTATATATATATATATATTAATGATTAAAAAATTTTAAAAAATATTATTTTATAATCATTTTCGGCTATTTAAAATAAAAATAAAATATTATTTATTATTTTGACGGTGCTACCTTCCTTTTCAAGTTGCTCGATCATTTTTAAAGGTGTAGTAAGTTAAAATATTATTGTTTATTGCATTTAAAACATTTAAAATTATTTTTATTAAACGGGCTGCGGGTAAGCCCGTTTAGCCCACGGGTTAAATGGATGGGTCACGGGCCTTAAAATTCAAAACCGTTTATGAATGCGGGCTTTTTAGCCCGCTCCGTTTAACCCCGCACCGTCAAAATCCGTGGGTTAAACCGGCGGGTAGCCCGTATACCCACCTATAGAAAAAAGTGAATGATGTCTCGTTTTGTGAAGTGAGATGAAAAGGTTCGAGCACCGTGTATGTTAAGTATGAATGTTCATTATTAAATAATCAAGAGTTTTTTTAACATATAAAGAAGTGAATGCTGTCTCGTTTTGTGAAGTGAGATGGAAAGGTTCGAGCACCGTATATGTTATGTATGAATGTTCATTGTTAAATAATCAAGAATTTTTTTAACATATATTATCTTATATTCACCAGTGATTTATCATATATATTGTAACCCCCTAGACCCGGCCTATGCGTTTCGACTAAGTCTAGTGGATCACATTATGATTATTAAAGACATTTTTCGAAACCGTTATTCCATCAATATACAATCACATTATAAATAACATGAAATTATAAACAAATTATACTATCAAAATCCAACTAGTAAATATAGTACCAATAAATAATAATTTAATTTAAAACATGTCTTCAAATTCAAAATCACAATAAACCGAGCAGTATTAGCAAAAGAGTCATCATTATAAAATCCGATATTTTAAAATAAGGTCCATGTCACCAAAATAAAGTCAACTTGCCAGATAAAAACATTACAATCTGATTTACTTCAAGAGATATGTTGATCCTCCAAGTGCTCGAACCGAGGTATCTAACCAACAGTATCTGAAAGGGGGAAAACATTTTCAAAAGGTGAGCTATGCTCAGTGTGTCCTAACATTTCCATAAAATCACAATAGGTACAAATCATAGTCCAGTAATCTCACAAATTCGTAAAAGAGTTTAACTTTTTGAAAATCATAGTTTAAACCCTTTTCTGGTACACCATCAGTAGTTCCCAAAATTATTTTCCATATAGCTTACTTTATGCACATAGCAAAAAGAAAGCCGACTTAAGGATAGGCTCTGAAGCTTGTATCCTTAAGCCCAAGTCAATAAGTCCATATAGCTTACCCTAAGCACACAGCAAAGGAAAGCCGACCTAATGAAACATCTTGGGGCCCTCAAGAGTCACATTAGGCCCAGTTAGCTTGATCAGAGCTATTCCATTGTAATTCAATTCCAAAATTCAATTGTACCGTGACATAAATTCCATAAATCCAAAAACATGGTAATCATATACCATTTCAAATCAAAAATTAGATAGCAGCCATATTCCATAAATTGTCACATTAAATTGGTGCATCAATAAAACAATAACCAATGAATTCGGTGTACCACATATTAAAACCAATAAAACAGTTCAGTAATAAGTAGGGAACACACCTCGACAATAGATTCAAATAGCAAATCTACTGATTGCTGGTTTCACCACGCTCTGCTACAGTTTTCGAACGGGTGAATACTGGCACACGTGGTTTAACTAATCTAGAAGAGCTGGGTCGAGCTGTCGAACGATCTGGAGAGTCTCTTGTACCTTCAAACAATAATATTTATCAGTCACAAATCCTATTTAATTGTTCAAAGCTAAACTTCTGAAGTATATAAGCATTTTTCGGGTTTGACTATCAATTTGAGGTATTTCGAGTCTGAATTTGGCCAAACGGATTGCGGAATCGGAATCAGGGCGTCGAAAAACATAAAGTATGACTTTTCGAAAATTCAAATTCTTGGTCAAAGTCAAAGTCAACCACTTTGACCGTAGATTTGGAGACCTTCGGATTCGAATTTGACAAAACGGAACACGGAAACGGATTCATCACGTCGAAAACTATCAGGATAAGTATACTCAGAAAAGATTAACTATCGTTTAATAGCCGGTCAAAGCCGGTCAAAGTTCTGGTAAAAGGAGGTCAACAAACTGTTGAACATTTTACACAAATAGCACCCTTTTTAAAATAATTACCAGAATAGCACCAAAACCGAATTATTTACCATAATAGCACCAAAACCGAATTATTTACCAGAATATCACTAAAATCGAATTATTTACTAGAATAGCACCGGTCAACGGGTCGGGTCGTGACCGGTCAAACCGGTCAAACCCTTAAGAAAACCGGTTGAACCGGTCACTCACTCGCCCGACGGCGGCGCGTGTGGCGCGTCAGGTGTCCTCCGGGGCTCTAAAAATTACGGAAAATTTTCTAAAAATTATTTTGAGCGTTTTCGAGATACTTACAAAGCTCGATTCAAATTTTTGAACGCCGGAGAGCTCGAATTCATCAAATCGGGAAGTTTGACCGGTTCACCTCCCCACGCGCCGCCGCCGCCGGAGAAAAAGGGGAACACCGGTGGACTCGGAACGGCACAAGGAACACGATGGTGCGGGAGGTGTCGTAAACGGAGCAACGATCAGCGGTGAATTTAAGATTTTCTCGACGATAGAGCTAACAAAAACGTCGCTACTTTGACTGAAAATTCCCGACGTTTGGCCGTGTTTCGCTTCAATTAATTTGAAGGGTTTGTTCCTCGCTCGATGATGAACACAACGGTGGTTTCAAAACAACGATCAGAATTCGGACGGCGTCGGAATCGAGTTTGGAAGTTGTGTGCGTGAGGAAGGATTTGTGAAATTGATTTCTGCTTTTCAAAACAGAAATCACGCATATAACAATTGCCTGCCGACACTCCAAGGTTAAATTCAGGGCTTGGTCCCTGAATTTTCTTTAACTTTAAAACAAGCTCAAAGTTTTAAAATCTTTCAATTCAGTCCCAATTTTCGCCAAATTTTCACAATTAAACCCTCCAATTTCAATTAAATATTATTTTGAAAATCGGGTTGTTACAATTCTCCCCCTCTACAAGAAATTTCGTCCTCGAAATTTACCTTATGAAAATAGATGAGGAAATTGAGCCTCCATTGACTCCAATGTCTCCCAAGTAGCTTCTGAGGGACCTCGATTACTCCACTGAACCTTGACCATTGGCATACGCCTATTCCGAAGAACTCGTTCATCTCTCTCTAAGATCTGAATGGGCTCTTCCTCATGTGACAAATCAGGTCTCAGGTCTATATCTTCAACCTGAATGATGTGATCTGGATCTGGATGATATCGCCTCAACATTGATACATGAAAGACATCATGAATACGACTGAGCTCAAAAGGCAACTCAAGCTGATATGCAACAGGTCCTACCCTTTTCAAGATACGAAATGGTCCAATAAATCTTGGACTCAATTTACCCTTACGCCCGAATCTCAATACTTCCTTCCAGGGTGAAACTTTTAAAAAGACCTGATCTCCAACCTCAAACTGTATATCCTTCCTCCTTTGATCTGCATAAGATTTCTGCCTATCAAATGCCTCTTTCAGACGGTCACGGATTAATCTGACTGTGTCCTCCGTCTCACGCACTAACTCAGGTCCCAACGTTTTCCTATCACGCAACTCAGTCCAACAGATCAGAGTGCGACATTTACGCCCATAGAGTGCTTCATAAGGTGCCATACGAATGCTGGTCTGATAA